TTTTCTCCTTCTGTACACACAGCTTTTAGATTAATTTTCCTAGAAGTCAACTCTAGTTTTATCATGCTGCCTTGTCCTCTGTAGCTGGAAGTGGCTTGTATTGCCCAGAAAGCTCCCAGGTAATTCCGGCTGCTCTCCAGTCCTAGCAGCACGTGTTCTTTAGTGTGCCCTCTCCGTCGTGAGCATCAGCCCGCATAAGCGCTCGGTGGCCTGCGCGCCATATGCGCTTGTCTTCTGCACCCATATGCCACCCACATAGCAGGCTCTCCTGGTCTTCGTGCTTCTCTGTTAAGCAACGCCTCTCCCTCTCCAGCTCGAGCACCTGTTTGGCCTGGTTCTCACACGATGCCTTCCACGACCCTCAGTCAGTCCTCTTCTCTCACTCCTTTAAGGCACGTAAGATCTTTGCTTATAGACTGGAGTTTCTAAATGTAGTGGAAGGTGACTCCTGATTTTGTCACTTTCCTACCTACAGGATGCTGAACAGGTATGTAAATGCTTTAAGAAACCACTGTATCCCCATCTGTAAATGCAGAATAACTATAAGTACCTGCCTGAAAGGCCTTTGTGAAGACTGAAGGGAACAATGTATACAGAGAACTTAGCGCAGTGACTTAGGCATGTATGAAGGACTAAACAATTAGCTAGTGGTATCATTTATGATTAGTATTTTCTCCATAGCGCTAAACAATCTCTGCAATACCTAACACCCTCTAACAGTTTAAAGGTTCTGTGAGAGCGCAAACCTCAGACCACGCATCTTTCAGAGCACTACAGCTGAGTAGCAGAAACTCCAAAAATGTGTTAAGAGAACAAATTCTGTAAATAAGGTAAATTACCTGGCTAACAGCTGCAAGAGTTTGTTCACACAGAGGTTATTTTATGGAATGCAAAATGGAACAAGACAGTGTTTTGCCACAAAATTAGAATCAGGATGATGTTGTGAAATTATTGAAGAATAAGAAGGAAATTTGAATGTGTTCTGGTTGTTAGGATTCTGATCAAAAGGGGATTAGGAAAGGTGCCTAAGTATGTCAGCGAAAAGACTAGAAGGAAATAAGCCGAGCATATCAGCGGGAGGAAATCCGAACAGATTCCTAGTTGCCAAGCAAACTGAAAGATAACAAGAAGTCAGTATTGAATTGCTAGCATCAGTGAGCAGGAAACTTGAATAGAAAACAAAACAAAAAAGTACTTGGTGTTAGAAAGAGTTTGAGAGAACCTGCTGCTGGTGTGGGCATTAAACAAGTTGAAAGTGTGATTTCTTGTAGTTACTTCAAAAGTAGATTTTGGTTAAAATGATATTGAATTAAACATTCTTTACTGCAATGCAAAGTGGGTAAATAAGATAATCATTTGAATAAATAACTCTCATTAGTACAGCACTACAGCAGGCATTTTTCCTTTAATGTCACCTTTGAAAATGGTTGCATTTTAGAATGGAGAAAATATCCACATGTATTTGATTTTAAGTAAGCTTATGAGGAGTAAAAATGTGTGGGTGGAAGATTTAAGTATTTGATAACAAATAAATTGCAAAAAATAGAATACTGTGTACCTAAGAATGCCAGAAGAAAATTTCCCCTAACATAGATAAGTAGATGATTGACATTTACTGTGTGTATTATTTTCTAGCGTCTTTATAATTATCCGTGACGCGTATTAATTGTGAGAGCTATCCTGTATAGGTTTTGACTTCCTCATCTAAGTCATAGAAAGATTGACTAGCTTTCTCAGGGTCATGTAATTAGGACAAAGTGACATCTAAAATCCAGCCTCTTTGTAAATCAGAAAGAACATGGACCATAGCATACTGCCTTCTGCCACTGTTCATTAAGGTAGTACATAATTCTCCCTTTTTTGTTCTGTCCTTCACAATTAGATACAATCTTAGTACAAACTGGTTGACTGAGAACATTTTAAATCATCTAATGGGCTGTAAGCATGTCCTTCCCGAGTGAGTAATCGTTAGGAAATAAATGTTTTGATCACATATATCAGATTTATCTTACTAGTGCTGGGGAACACTGTCATCATACACAGACCATTAAATAGCTGTGAAAAAGAAGGCAGTAGGGAGAAGAAAGGAGTGATTTCTAGTTCTCCTAGACTGCAAAACATCTAGAACTGCTGAGCTGTAATATAGGACATTCTTTAAACTTAGTCTGCCCTCATTTTGAAGAGCTACACAACATAATTAGGAGGGTTCTAAGAAGCTGGGAGCAAGTTCAAAGATGTCGTCTGATACGATAGAGATGGTGTGTGTTGTGTGAGTTCTTCAGATTGTTCCAGTCCTTCAGAGCACGGGGCAGTCTTGTCTCAGGAGAGCAGACCCATGGGCTGGGTTTCTGATGCTCCATGTAAGCCAGTGCAGATAACAACGTACTTGCTTAGGTGTGGACACACAGGAGTAAGATTATAGATGAGCAAGATCTACTCATACCTAAAGGCATGAAATCTGCCTACAGAAATGTAAGAGGAAAATGGTTAAGCAGCTGTACAGTTTTGAAGTAAACTATGCCCCTAACATGTAGTTTGATATTGTTATTAAGCTCCTCAACAAACATGCGCACTTCTGTGGAATTCCTTGCTGCAAGTCTTCCTAAGGCGTGAGCCTAATGATAATTGCTCTGATGTTTCTAATTATCAGAGAACAATTCAAACTAAAGGTAGATTGTCTGGTTAGGGCAGGTCTTACCTCACTCTGAGAGTAAATGTTTCTACTCGTTTCAGTAGCCATGAGGGTAAATGATGACAGAAGCAATAGGTCTCCGGTTGAATAATTATTTAACATTCATGGAACGTTATCACACCAAGTGCTAAACCAAACCTTGCTAGGCTCTTCTTCTACCCAGTGAGTACAATCTAATTAAGAAGACAGTGGAGGCAGGGCTGAGAACAGTATCTAATCAACCAGCAGCTGTCTTTAAATGGCCTATGACTGTCCATGTGGAGATTTATAGATCAGCGGCAGCATTTTCCCTTGCATCAGGAAGAAAACTGGCCCCGGGTCCAAGCTTCGGAGTGTAGATTTATTTTATTCCAGGCAGTGGAATCCGCACGCAAGAAGGTGCCTCTTCTGCTCTCTCTGACATTTCATGGCTCAAGTGTAACTTAGTCATTTCTTAGCTCCCAATAGCAAGCAGGAGTTTATTTTATTTTATGTATTTAGGACGGGGTCTACAGGGTCTTACTATACAGATCGGACTCATAGTGATCCTCCTGTTTTCACCTTCCCAAGTGCTGGGGTTACAGGCTCGTATCACCACGCCCAGTCTCATTCCCCATCTCAGCGCACCCTAGAAGCAAGGGCGGACAGCAGGGCAGGAAGCAGGATTTAAAAAAAAGAAAAACCCTCTTAATATTCTGATACTAGGGAGTAAGTGTGGCATTTTGTATACTTTTGAATAAATTAGCCAGGAATTTGGAAAATAAGATGTCCATTCTTGCAAACCTAAAGACTTGGTGTTTAAAATCTCTTTTTCCTTTAATGAATCATTGAAATGATCTCTAAGAATTTTAGTATAGAGATATGATTGAAACTGCCATGACTGTGCCTTATGGCACGAGGCATAAAACGTCACAGCGGAATGCTAACCTTTATTCTTAGAAAATGAGACACCGGACATTCTGTTTTATTAGATGCAGTCAGTTCTTTTAGTCAAGTCTCAACTGTGCCGCCAAGAGCAATTTTGGTTTCAATCACGCAGACACACCGCCGTTGTAGCGCGAATGCCGTGTTCTGGGATGAAAAGCCAGTGTTCCTTTTTGTTTTCATAACTCACATAGCATAGAATTAATAACTCTGTCAACATAGCTTTAAAGTGTGCATTTAACTTTTGGCCCCAAAGATATTTATAGTAAAAAACGAGCAGTAAGCAGCGTCACCCTATAGTGACTTCAGCTGACTGAAGGGTTTCCTCCCGTGCTTTGTTTCCTATTCATCGTGACTTTGATGGCTTATTTTCTTCCTCATACTTACTAGATTTATTTTTAGATTTGTATTTTTGCTGAACAGTAGAATCTTGAAGTTACATGTGATTATTTCTGTGAACTTGGGCGGGCACACACACTGAGTTTCTTCATCTTTAAACTAGTGGTGTTGATACCAGCTCTGCCCCTCACACGGTGCTGAAAGAGCCAAATAACTCAGTAGTTTCCAGAGTATCAAGACGTAAACAGTTGGAAGAGGTAGTGTTAGTTGTGTAGTTGCATACTTTAGCTTTGTTTTTTCACATATTATAAAACCACGTTGGTCCTATTTACTAGATGGGTGACATGTTCTTTGCAGAAATAAGGAAATTGCTAAGGAAGTAAAACATTCCACAACAGTTTGCATAAGTATCTTTATATTTTGAAGTGTGGAGCAGGCATTGACGGGGCACGAACCCCCACAGTTTCGGTTCCTTTATCCTGCAGGTCGGGACTCAGAGACAATGCCGTCCCCGTCCTTCTCTGCCACCCTTCACATGTTACAGGGAAGAGCATGGTGGCAGCTTTATCTCAGAAGAGTAACATAGATAATACCATACACAGATGGCTTTAGAATACACAGAGCCAGGCCTGGTGGCACGTGCCTGTAATCCCAGCTGTTGGGAGGCCGAAGCAGGATGATCACTGTGAGCTTGAGGTCATCTTTGGCTGCATATTGAATTCAAGGTCAGCATGAAATACACAGTGAGACCTTGTCTCAAACAACCAACTAAAGAAAAAAATTAAAATATACTTCTGAGAATTAATCTCCATCTACTCCATCCTTTCAAGGATGTGCCTTTTCTCCAAATTCCACTGTATTTAGTGTTTCTGGAAATGTAAATCATGTACATTTTTGAGAAAGTATAGAGTACTTTATAATCTGAAGTCTTCTTTAGTTTATAATTTACATATGGCTGTAGTGAAAGAAACAGTCCTGTAATACCTATAGTACCAGTACATTTAAAAGTATTGCACCCTTGAAGAGTATATAGTTAAGTAATAAAACTGTATTCTTATTTCCCCAGAGCATGACGAGTGTGTCACAAATCAGCACAGCTGCGATGAAAATGCTTTATGCTTCAACACAGTCGGAGGACACAACTGTGTTTGCAAGCCTGGCTACACAGGCAATGGAACCACGTGCAAAGGTATGACGCCTCCATGCCAGCTCCTCTTCCATCGTGTATCATGGGAGCCATGTCTCCAGCCCTTGTCGTCACTGTGCTCTATCTTGGGCCACCTTGCACAGGCACTGAGACTTTAAAATCTGGCTCATACTGAAGAGTTCTGCTCCTTTGCCCACTTCTTGATATGAACCACAGAAGTTTTCAAGTCTGTCTTCACCAAACCACATCCATGAGAACATCTGGGCATTTTTGTCCAGAACTGCTCTCTTCTTTGCATCTTAAATGCACCATTTAATTCCCTAACTCCAAGATGTTTTTTTCCTTCCTTCTACAACTCTTGATCTTCTTCAAGATCATCCCCATTTTTTTAAACTTTTCTTCTATCTGCTTCAGCCTTTTCCCAGCTTCAGACATTTCTATTTGAGCCCAATGATGAATAAATGATGAGACCTATTTGTCTGCCGACTTCATGACCCATTTGTTATACAGCTATCACCCACCGTGAAAGAATTCCACCTCGGGTCGGCCAAACAGTTTTTCTTCTGTGCTCTCTGTCTGTCTTGCGCTGTTGAGTGCTGCTGTAGAAGACCAGCTGACCATGGGCGCAGGGTTCCTGCATGCCGCGCTTCCTCATTTAGCTAGATCGCCAGTGCCAGTGACCAATTCTTTTACATGTCCTACCTAGCTTAGATTTTATTTCCATCAGTGCAAATTTCAGTTGTAGTTCTTCATCATTTATTAAGTCACACTTTCACCACTGTCCTTTTTCTCTTCATTAGATGAGGTAAAGGGAATAGAAGCCTATTTTGGAAGCTCTACCAAACCCTGTAGCATAACAGTCATATTCCTTATTACGTCGTATGATTTTCCCACTTTAGGCACTTTAAGCTGTGAGTTATCCCATTCTTCAAATAGATCATGTCATTTATATTGAAGTTCACTATAGTCAAGTTACTGTTGCTTTCCTAATGGAGATAGGAAGAACCAAAGAACAATTAGTGTTGCAACAGCTCACGCAGCACCTTGAAGTGCCCTAGAGCTGTACCCTGAGTGAGATTTCAGTGCACCAGAGGAGTCCTGTGGCTTCCAAAACCAAGGACCAGTAGATTTATTGCAGATCATATAAAGATGGCTTTCTGGTTGGGGTTCCAAATCTCACAGATTTGCTTGGAAAACTACACACATAGATCATTTCTTTCTATTTTTTTAAATGTATTTAGTACAGGATCTACAGGGCCCCACTACACAGATCAAACTTGTAGTGATCCTCCTGTTTTCAGCCTCCCAAGTGCTGGGATTATAGGCTCTCGCCACCATGCTCAATACCAATCACCAGCTCAGTGCTGCCAAGGGACAGGCCGTCAGGGCACGCTGGGGACCAAACCCCAGTCCCAGCGCCTGCCTAAGCAGGCGCTTTAGTCTGCTGAGCTATCTGGCTGGCCCACCTAGTTCATTTTGATAACTCATTTTTTATTAGGTCTTTTATTTAGGGCATCTATTATTTTTGAGTTCTTTATGTACTCTAGATATTAGTCTTGTCAATTTTTTCCCATTCTGTAGTTTGTTTCTGCACTCTGTTGGTGGTTTCCTTTTCTATGCAGAAGGATTTAATTTGATAGAATCCCATCAATGGATTATTGATGGCTTTTCTTATTCAAAAAAGAACAGTTGAAATTATGAGCACTTGTAGATAGATAATTCATATATTTGAAGAAAGGAGAACTTTTAAGAATCTGTACCTTTGCTGAATGTTGGAACGATGGGTTCAGAACAGAGTCTAGTTCCTGTGTGTCTGTTTTGGAAGTGGAAGGAGAACATTGTGGCGATGGGGAGCCTAGACGTGGGCGCTGATTCACTGCTCTCCGTGCTGCAGTGACAGGCGGCACCCTTCGGATCCTCCAAGGAAACTTGGTGTGGCACATCTATTCTTTATTATTTATGAGGTTTAAATTCTCACTTCATTTGAAAAAACTCATTGAACCAAGTATTCTTCTTGTACAGTATAAAACAGAGCCAGATGGCCTCTTAGGGCCCGTCCTTTACTTTAGCACCACAAGCACAGGTTTCTCCATTTTACTTCCCTTAAGTGCATCAACTTAGAGAAGGTACATGCAGGCGAACCTTGGCTCTGTGCATGGAACAGCTAGCTGGTCTGGTGTAGACCTGGACACTAAGAAGCCACTCCTGAGCTTCACAGGGCCAAAGAGTACACTGGAGGAAGAAGAAGAGAAGCTTATGAGGAGCATAGGCTCACTCATCTGGTTTTACCTCTTCTGGTTTCTCTCGCTGTCATATTTTCTTGGTTTTTACCTTTTCCAGTTCCTCTCAACGTCGTATTTTCTCCTTCCCATGCTTCTGTGAAGACAGCACAGGGCACAGCAGCTCCTGCCAGTGACTCAGACCATAGCTCCCGTTCCCTGCCACAGAAGCACTTTTCTCCTCATCTCCAAAGCCACTTGGATGCTTCCGGCATTCCAGGAGCTTCTTCCCTTTGGATCCCATATCCTGACCTGTCACTAGCGAAAGAGAGCTGGGCTTTCCCTGAAGGTCACGGCAGGAAGTTCTTCTGAACGTTGGCACTTCTGAGTCAGCAGGAGTGGCTGAGAACATTTCTCTAATGTTTAGCTTGTCCAGTGTGCACAATGGTGACAACTTCGTGGGATTTAGTCATTGCCTATTTCACAGTCTCTTTCTTGAGATGATGGTTTGCTTTGTCTGAGATGACACTCAATTTTAGGTTTCTTTCAAGTTGGATTGCTACAGTGAGATACTGTCTGAATTTTATTGCATTTCTATTGTATAAGATTACTGGGTTTCATTAAAAAAATTATTATTTTCTTTTACAGATGAAATATTCCTTTAACGTTAAAAAGAATACTGTTTTACTAATTGCATTGTGTTTTATGTGTATGTATAGAAGGAAAATACTACGATGACTTTTACTGTCTGATGTGTTTATCTTCCGGGAATAAATAAAAATTGTGCTGGAAGATTATGGCACTACTGACTTCTGAATTCCTGTGTGTGGATAGTTTTGTCTGACTTATTCACATATTGAACTATTTTAGCATTTTGCAAAGACGGCTGTAGAAACGGAGGCGCCTGTATTGCTGCCAATTTGTGTGCCTGCCCGCAAGGCTTCACCGGGCCCCACTGTGAGACAGGTAAGAGTATCCTTCCATCTTCTGGAAAATCAGTTCTTGTGCCAATGCATAAAGGAATCCATGCAGAAAAGAACGCTTCAGGTGCACTTCCAAAGCGCAGCGCTGTGTGTGTGTGGGGGGGGGTGCTTCGAGCGGGAGGCGGGCGCGTGCACGGCGCGCATTCCCAGCTCTGCAGCCCCCCAGCGAGGCATCTGCTGGGCCTTTCCAAGAGGGTTGCAGGAGCCCCGCAGTGCGTGCTGTACCGCTTAGCACCCCCTTGGAGCTCTGTTTCTGCTGCAATCTATGAAAAACCCTAGGTTGGAGCTTATGGCCCCCTTTGTTTCCAGGATGTACCACCATCTGGATCCATATTCAGAGCTTTCAGTGATTTATTATTGCTTGTTCAGAAAGTAAAGCTTTCTTTTTTTTTTTTTCTCCTTCTGTATTTTAGGGAAGAGTCTATAGGCTGTTTAGGGTCTCACTACTAGCTCGGGCTTGTAGTGATTCTCCTGTTTACAGCCTCCCAAGAGGCAGGATTACAGGTGTGCACCACCATGTCCTGTCTCAATCACCATCTTAGCATTCCCCTGGGGCAGGGCCGGCACAGCAAGCCCGGGAATTGAACCCCTGGCCCCTGCACCTGCTTGCAGGTGCTTTAGTCCACTGAGCTATTTGGCCAACCCTTGAAAGTAAAGCTTTCTATTCTCTATTTCTCATCCAAATCTGTTATGAGCTTATGCTTTCTGAGGGATACTAGTACTAGAAATTTTAAAATTTTTATTTCTTTTTTAATCTTATTTATTTATTTGGTACAGGGTCTTGCTACACAACTTGGACTTATAGTGATCCTCCTGTCTCAGTCTCCCCAGTGCTGGGATAACAGGAGTGTGCCACCATGCCAGGGTTTCAGGGCCGGCATGGCATGTGGTACCCGGGATCAAACCCAGGTCCTCACACTCCCCAGGCAGGCACTGAGACGACTGAGCTATCTCCCCAGCCCTAAAATCAGTTTTAAAATAACATACAATTGGAACATATCTCTAACATCAAAATAATATACTGTGTCAGTTGAAAAACATGCCTTAGGGACAAAAACATGCTTTGAGTATTGGATCCTAACGTCATAGCCGTGATGGTCTTGATTGCTGTTGGTTAAGCAGTTCTCATAACAACGACCTTATCGGCTGGCTATTCTGCCTGAGAGAAAGTGTGTGCCAGTAGCGATGATTGTCACCTGCTGTGCTGCGCTTCCTGAGTCCCTGTGTCATAGCGATGATTGTCACCTGCTGTGCTGCGCTTCCTGAGTCCCCGTGTCATAGGTACACCTCATGTGCTTCACCTCTTCTCCCCGCGGTCATCTGGTTTAATGAACACTGATCGAATCTGAGACAGAAAATGTTCTGCTCCATTTGGGAGGTAAAAATTTTACTGAATTGACACTGCCACTATGCAAAGAGAGAGTCTTATGTGGGCTTGGATCGCTAAGCATGGCCGTGTTCACTCTGGAAGTACCTCTAAGTGATGTTTTTCAGGCCTCAGTGGTTGACTTCTGTCTTTATATAACACTAATGCATCGAGGTCTGTTCATATTTATTTGCTGTACTGAGGACTGAAGCTGAGACATTCACACAGAGCTGCATTCCCAGCCCTTTTTTTCTTTTTGGAGACAGTGTCTTCCTAATTCCTCGGTTTTTGAGGCTGGGTTTGAATTTTCAGCCTCCCAGAATTCTGGGATTAGAGATAGATGTCATCACGCTCAGTTTATAGAACTGTTTTTAAGGCATCCTTTCCTAAATTAAAACTTTTCCAACCGTGTTGCATGTCTGAATCACCTCTAGAACTTGTTAACATCTTAGACATACGGGCTTTTGGCGATTAATTATCAGAGCTTTCCTTGATCACGTCACACCCCTCCAGTGCGACGGTCCTCCAGACTCGCATCACAGGATCTCCACCCTACGTGGGCGCCCGGCGCGCTGGAGACAGGCGCACACCAGCACGCGTGCTGACAGTCCTCCGGAACACAGCGCCTTGTTCTATTTCTGGTACAAGATCTGGGTACTTAAATTTTAGCTTTGTAAGGAGTTTTTGAAAGTACGAAGGTAACTGTACAGAATGTAGGAAAACCGTTCAAAGGGAAGAAGCAACTGGGATGAGGGAAAGGTGAAAAGAAAAGAGAGAAGGCAGGAAAAGTATATACATATATACGCAGGACAAATAATTGTACTGTTGATTTCTACTGGTCTATTGAAAGGAATAGTTAATGCTTAATTCTTCTTCTTTTAATTTTTAAACTAATTTTGCGTGCTTATATCTGGTAATCTGAACAACTATTTTAAGGACAATAATACACAATATAGCAACCATTATTTAACTCCTATCATTTTGTTTAGTGAAATTGTGTATCGTTTCTAATTTTTTTTTTTACTGTTTTTTATTCTTTTTTAAGAAGTGACTAACAGAAAGAAAGAAAGAAAGAAAGAAAGAGAAAGAAAGAAAGAAAGAAAGAAAGAGCCAGCCAGCCAGCCAAATAGCTCGGTGGATTAAAGCTGGGGCAGGGGTTCATTCCCCAGGCCTGTCGTGCTGGCCCTGCCCCCGGGGCGTGCTGAGATGGCAATTGAGACTGGGCGTGGTGGCGCGTACCTGCAATCCCAGCTCTTGGGAGGCTGTAAACAGGCAGGTCACTACAAATCCGATCTAGTAGTGAGACCCTGAACACCCTGAAGACTCTTCCCTAAAATACAAAAAAAAAGAAAAGGAGGAGGAAGAAGAGGAGGAGGAGGAAAGAGAGGGGGGGGGGCTGGGCTGAATGTTAGCCGTGTCTAATTCTGTATATCATTCTTCCTTGAGAAAAAAAAATCAAATGATATTATGAAAATCTGAAATCTAAAAAAAAGTCTTAGCAATATAATATTTAGGGTTATTAGAATAAAAACAACCCCCTGGAATATTTAGCTCTCTGTGTAATTACCCTTGAATTTTGCATCCATGTGAAGACAAACCCAAGCTGACCCTGAAGAGCAGAGTAGTGCTTTGAGCAGAAGAGGAGGAAGCTCAGGCCGGTTCTATCGATCACGTTCTGCAGCCCCCGTGGGCCAGTTACTCAACTTCTGGGTCTTGGGCCCTCTCTTCCTAACCTGACTGCACAGCTCTGTCCCAAGGCAGTGGTGAGCTCCATTTGCGAACAAAATGCTGAATTCACATTTTCTCCTCAACTCAGAACGGGCAGCTGAAAGATCTTTCTCCTCCCAAACTCAGGGTTTTATCTGTTTTCCACTCTGGTTTTCCGGAGACCTTGAGTCTGACTGCCTCGGCATCTTCTCCTGCACACTGCTGCCTCTTGTGCTTTCCCCTCCTCTCACCAAGACCAGCGTCTTTGTTATTATTGTCTCAGTGCACGCAGCCCCGTCCACCCAGCTTTCAGGCAGGAAATCGCCTGTCTCTTGTCCGGCCACATCCTAGTGAAGTCATCTTAATTGCATCCTTCTGTCTTTTCTGGGTTCCGTTTCTTTCCTCCTGGCTTACACTACAGTAGTTCAGGGGTCTAGGGGCTTTTCTCCCTCCTTCCCAATCCCCCACAGAATATCAGAACATAATTCCGATTATATCACTCCAGAGAGAAAAACAAAAACAAAAACCAGAACTTCAGTGTCCCCTCCTGCCTTGAGGATAAAGGTTACTTCGTGTTTGCTGTCCCGGGGAACTAACCCAGGAGTGCTGTGCTGCTGAGCTGCCTTCCCACCTGTTCTCCTTTTCGTCTGAAGCTGGGTCGAGCTGCAGTGCTGAGGCTCTCCACAACTTGCCATCCCCGTGCCTCCACCTCCCACGCAGATGAGCTCACACACAGAGCCAGCGGGGCTGCAGCTTTCAACATGTTAAGGCCCTGCCAGCTGTTTATTCACCCAGCTCTCCCCACTTGTCTGCCTGCCTCCTCCCCTCCTTCCCATTCCAACCATGAACCTCTGGTGTGGTTGGGGCGACTTGTTTAGTGTACTCAAGACCCAGTGTAAAGCCCACACCTCAGGAGGCATTTCATAAATAGTCGGTGAAGAGGCAAATTAAGCTGTAATGATGTAGTAGTTCCCATATTGGCTGGACAGGTTTTGAATGTTAGTTTAAAGATGTCTTCAGGAACGTCTGCCCCTGCATGCTCCCATGGCAGGTGTGACGGTTTGCGTCTCGCTGTCTCCCCAGACCTCCGGCAGTCGTCGGCTCTTTTGGAGGTGGAAAGAATGCAGTGTGTGTGATGTGAGGGTCAGCTGTGTGATTCCTGAATCAGTCCTCAGATTCATTTGTTGCCACCTATTCCCAGAAGTCTAGACACAGTATAAAGGAGCAAGAAAGATGCTGCTAAGGTCTCTTGCTGCTTTTGCTGTCTTCTATCACCTTGACTGGCTGCCCCTCTGCTTTGAAGCCAGTAGACTGGACTGAAACCTCTACACACTGTGAGCTAAGTAAACCTTTCCTCCACTAACTTTGGGCATTGGGTATTTTGTCTCAGCAATGAGAGAAAAGTAAGACAGTAGGTATGAAATTAAGGCACAGAGAGGTGGCGTGACTTACACGAGCTGTCTCATCATAGATCTTTATCTGCAATCTAGAACTCATTCCTATACAGCATTTTCCCCACCTTATTTTCCTCTTTCCTTTTGTCCTTTGCCGTGATGTCTGCCCAAGAATTCATCATACTGCCACCCCCACCAGGTCTGTGCTTTTTGTTATCCTCACACTTCTGCTGCAAAATAACCCTGGTTTTAAACTCTGACAACTATGATGATTTTTCCCCCTGGAGCATCAGCGTTGTCAGGGTTTGCAGGTATAGAGATGGCTACCTTTGGTCTGCTGGAGATGACACTCTCTGGTACCTAGTAAGAGGACTGATTTGTGGTCCCAGTGACCATCGCCTGAGCCCTGACAATGGTATCACTAAGCATGAAGTAATGAAGTCTACTCTGCAGGGATAAGGCAGTATTAATGTGCATGGCTTTTGCTGACTCACGTTACTTTAAGTGAGACGGTCT